ACGAGCAGTGGGGGACGTGTCATTACGCCGTGGCCAAGCTTTTCCTAGGAAGTTACTTTGGCTTTGACAACGAAGCAGGGCAGTTTCGTAAAACATCGAGGACAAACGAAACTTGACAATTGTCGCAGTCGTTTAGGTCGCTTCTCGAAAACAATGTAAAGCTGCTGTATACGTCCATTATTTTTTCTATATCTGCTAAAGAATTGTCAAAAAAAGGTACATCGAGAACTATTTCTTATTAATTCTTGTCATATAAAATGAATTTCACATTTTTCTTGATCAATAAAACTCGTCTCGCTTCCATACATTTGTTTTTCACTCTAGAAAACGTAAAGACTTCGCAATAAAAGCAACACAGCAAAGCCATTTACCGAGTTGTCGGGCGAGGGTGAGTAAAACTTAGCTTTTCATAAAGAGATGGACGCGTCTTTATTTTCGCAAATAATTTCTCTCCCTATCCATGCAAATCGTTGCGTCTATTTTTTATGGCAAATACCATGACGTAATTTCTTACCTTCAAAGCTTCCTCACATTGTACCGTCTAATCGCGCAATAAAAGCGGAAGACGAGCTCTGTTAAAAAGCTTTTGATAGACAGCTATAAGCATATACATAAGACATCTTGAAAATTCCCATCCATCTATCATCGCCCTTGCGATTCTTACACACAGACACACACACATACAGATATATATATATATATACATACATATACATATATATATATTCCTTGCTGTCTGCGGCTCCGTCATTATTAATTTAAAACCCAACCACATATCCTCGCTCTACCGTACTTTTTACTCCCTACCCGCTTGAGTTTTATGCCCCTCAGCTGAAATTAGCTTTGATTACAATCCTCGCCCTCGTCGTCGCGGCTTTTAATTTTCAATAAACGCGTAATAAGTGAACCTTACCGAGGACTTTCCTTCTCTTCTTCTGTGACGCCACCATTGTTATCGACGCGCCGCTATAATTTACGCGTCGCGATCATTGACTTTATTTTACTTTTGTTCGATTACAGTCAGCAGATTCGTTTTCGTGACTGTACTTTGAAAATTGTCATCGAACGGAAAGCCTTGAAAGCACAGGATCACATGGAAAATCGTCAATAAAGTGTGAGTCTACAACATTAGAGCGTAACATTATAACGAGTGTGCGCGCGCGTGTTGGAAATAATCGATAGGGACGAAGTTTAGTGAACTGCTTTTTCCTGCAATCAACCCCCATTTATTTACATACCAATCGTTCCACATCTTCAGCATATAGATATCCCCGTCTAATAATTGCATCCCTCTATTAGACATGCATTGATGAAAGCTCGGTAAATTGCGCGTGTATCGGGGGAAAAAAAACATGGGAGAAAAACTGGAAGATTTTCATTTCTCTCTGACAGGCCAAATTAGAGAAATCCACAGGATGCACGCTCGTAAAAGATACGATAATATTTTCGAGAGAGAGGGAGAGAGAGAGAGAGAGAGAGAGATAGAGATAGAAAAGGGAGCTTTCCACGTCTCTGCGTTTTACGAGCGTTAATTATCCCGCGCCTCTCTCGCGCTCTTTCCGCTCGTCGCGTTTTCTCATAATGCCGCGAGCCGCCGCAATCGTAAAAAAGAATAAAACCAAGCTGCCGTGGGGCCATTGTATTGTCAGATTTACGATTTCTAACGGGCGCGTTGGAGCTCTTTTCGATTGATTATTGTTTCGCGGCTTCTCTCTCTCCCTCTCTCTTTTTTTCTGTATGATGTTAGAAAGTTCGTGGCATAATGAGCGCGATGCAAAACGTAACAGCTCGCTCGTGTGAAGCAAGTTTTCTGCTCTAATTTGCGTTTGAACAATTTTTTTTTTTTCGAAGCCATTATACTATTCAACGGTCATTTGGCACAAAGGAATAATTCATGTGGATTAGAAGATTATACCGAGCTGTGGGGAAAAAAGTTGTCGATAGTCCTGCAGACAAGCTATAGATGATAAGAAAAAAGTTGGTCAATACATGTGTTTCATACGTGTAACGCCAACAGACGAAGACAAGAAAACTTGCAAAAGCAATTATAATTTTTATTTATATTGTTATTGTTATAATTTCACCGAATTTACTCAAATGTATTGGTCAATAAATTGACTGACGAAACGTTGCCACAGAATGAATGAAATCTAGTACAACTGAACTATTTTATTTAGGCGCAGTTATCGCACTCCTTGAATTAATACATATATTTATTCATTTACGTAGAATTCACTTGAGTGGTCTCTTCTAAATCGTGCGCAAACTAGAATTATTTTTCCTCATTCCGAATAAACGGCATTAGCATATCGTGTTTTCGGTGCCTGGAGAATGGCCTCAATACAAGGAACAACAATCGACGTAGCCAAACTTTGTTCAAAGACAAAAATAGAAATGGAAAAGAAAATAACTTTTTGTTTTCGAAGATTGATAATGAAATTGATAAAGAAGGCGAAGCAAATCAAACTCTACGAGCAGCTGCCGAAAAGTCCGCACGCGAGACAAAATCTCAGCCGTCTGGCGATCGCTCATCAAGTTACCGGTGCACTTGGAGGCATCCGAGGAAAAAAAAACCGGTTCACGAAAGAAGACGAGTGGCAGAGGATCGCCGATGATATTTTAAAAGGGCGCTCTCGTTCGGATTCTTCCGGGTCGCGTTATATCGAACTTTTTCGCGATCTCATGAGTAGAATGCTTCATTGCGCACACATGGCGGCATGCTTAATTAGCAATTAATATAAAAGCGCAGCTGATTCGAGCTAATTAATAAAGGCTCGTTTCATTTAAATTTTCACGGCGAGTTATCGTTCAGTGAAATCACGAGACACCTTCAGCGATGGTTATTTTTTTTATACGTCTATCTGATAAAACGTCGCTCGTTTCTGATCGCAAGGTGCGACACATCGGATACTCGCTCATTTTTCGAATTTTTATCTGTTTGCCTTTCCTCCATCGACATAGACGTTATGTCATTAATATTTCTGTTAAATATGACTGCTTATTTCATTTTTGGTTGTTTGCTTACTTAGAGGGATGAATGTTATCTTAGGAATTTTTATTGTTAGTATTTCGGTTTTTTTATCAGGACTATGAAATCATTTCAATTTTATTAACAGTGGTACTACAGTTTTTTCGTTGGAATAAAATTTGTAATAAAATAACATTTCTTCTCTTATGAAAAAAGAGAAGCTGACAAAGTCAAGCCAGTTTATCCGTGATCTGATTGACTGAAAGATAGTCACGTGATCAACTGTTGTGTGATAGTGTATGGTATATGTTGTTCACGCTTATGAAAGATTACTGCGGATATATTAGTAGATGATTAAACGTTGGAAACGTGTATCAGTATAATTGGCATGAAATTAATATGAATTGATTGATTGAATCATACTCACCTAACAACTATAGCCGACTGACACCTCGATAGAGAAATTGATTGAACTTTACTCTATGTTTCTACAGTTTAGCTTTGACTAATTAAAGTAGACAATAAAAGATGTAAATTGATAGATTATCACGATTGAATATTAAATACTGATTTCAGCTTTATTCAATTATATAACATATTAGCATTTTTTTGATAATGTATTAATTACAATCGTGAATGTCTATCGAAGTATGTTATTTGCATCGCGAAAGATATGATTATAGAAAACTATAATGTTTGTAGAACTTATATTACATTTTTTTTATCGTGTTTTCCAAACTTTGTAATGATTTTTCAACACGTTACATTGTATGATAAAAAGTTAAAACTTGATTGATAACATTTATAAATCATAAGTATTATATAATTGCATATTCATTCATCGAGAAATAACATCGTCGGCTATATCTCATATCAAATCACATATATATAATGCATATTGAATTATTGAATTTTCAATTTGGTCAATAAAAGTTTTGATCTTCGTGCATTGGTATATTATAAGGCATGATTAGTAAAACAAATTGAAGAATGTGCTTTAATGAGAAAGTATAAAACGATAAGTCATCAAAGTTGACGACGGAAGTTGAAAAAGGAATATTTATAAAACACACGGAAATGCCATTCCGACCGTGAAAACTTTATCGAACTGCCGTAAACGCAAAGAAACTTTCATAACAATCCTACCGACGTATTCATCGAAAGACACCCTATAATAGACTTTTCACAAGCGTGCTGTGAAACACAATCGTCAATCCGATCTGCAAAGTCGTAAAAACCATCCAATTTCCAAGATTCGAATTCGGGTCAGCGGACTGCACCCCTCTTATCTCGATGCGGGAATTGCAAATTGACCAATTACTATGTAATACACTTTTCAATCTCTTGCGAGTGCGTGTGCACCTGACGGTGAAGGAGATTCGAAATTAATTCGTCCGCGCAAGAGAGCAGTGGATTATCGGTTTATACTTTAATTAAGAAAATCCAGCCAGCGTCGATTATCGAACGTTCGGTAATTTATTTATACGGGGATTCCGTACCTCTGCCTTGATTCTGGATTATTGAATTACCCTTTTTAATCGAAGGAGAAAAAGTGAGCTACAGATTGCTTTGGTAGTCGAGATTTTCATTTCAGTTAAATTTTGATTTCATAATTTTAGTAAAGTTTATTTAAACATTTGCCACTTGATATTTCATAGTTTAACGTATGAATATGCGTCTATTTTACGAAAATCAAGCTGTTTAAGAAAATGGCATTGAAACAGGTTGTTCTATACTAAGATCATCAGATGTTATTTTTTTAGCTTGCATAAACAACACTTGTACTAACGTAGCAGGTATGCATGCAAATTATGAAACCACATGTGTCTAAAAATATAATCAAGGAAAAAAGAATTATCAATTCTGTTTATGTTAGCCCAGCAAACAATTTGTTATAATAATATCATATTTTCAACATAGGAGAAGGTAGGTATCGGGTAAAATTCATAGAGATCATTAATTTATAAGAAAAACAATTTATTCAATCAATATCTTTTTAATATATAGCCATAAAATATAATTTGTTGTCAAATCTTTCATCGTCGTATTTCTCACAATAATAATTGTCGTATCATCACGTATCGAATTATAATAGCCTAACAAAAAAAAATTCGATTCGCTTTTGCATCTTTTCACATCGCAATAAAAAAAAAACAAAATATTACATATAATAGTTCCTTGTCACTCGAAGAGTGAAAAGAAAAAAATACACGCACACGCACACGCACACACACTTTATTGGTGCTTCTGCGCAAGCGCATATTTTTGCTTACAAATATTATATAAACTATACTTGCTTGATCCTCTCGTCATGAAAAAATTACAATACTTAACCATCTAGGAAAAATAAAATGATGAAACATGCTCGCACGCGCGCACGCATACGCACACACACACACACACACACATACACACGCGCGCTTTGGCTCTCTCGCTGAATTAAACTTAGAATGCACAGAAGAAATGAAGGAGAATCCTAAATATAAAGTAAAATTATTTAAATTACTTAGATACTACGAAAGACTTACTCTAAGGCTTGCTTGGTGTCTTATAAGTACAGATTATGGTACAGTCGGCGATATGCGCGCATTTTTATTTCTGACTCGAAACATTGTTCACTTAAAATAGAAGAAATTACGAATGCGATGCGCGATTCGTCATCGAGCCACTTTTTGTTTCTCAACCTTAAACTATCTTTGGTCCTCTAGCCGTTATGAAACTTTTGCCCGATTTTAACATCACGGTTCAAGTCGCTTTCCATTATTAATTTTTTTTTTCTTATACACTTTTAAGTCACTTGCCGAATTCGCAACGCGCCCGCGAGAGCGCGCCGTTAAGAGAATTTGCAAAATGAAAATTGCCTAGTTTGCATGCACGATCCTTCAAAGACAAATATAAAATCAACGATCACGGACGGCTTTGGCTTCGACGGACTATATGACACTTATAAGAATCGTTACACAGTGTTGTATTTACAAGTTATCCCTTTATTGCTATGCGTATACGTATGAAAGTGCGCTTAGTTAACCACACACGCGTGTAAGAGCACTTGCGTATGTAATAAAATAAAAAAGGAAAAAAGAATACATCGTGCGCGACGAAGAATAAAAATGAAAATTCTGAAAATATGTATAATATGCAGCACGACGACCCAAGTGTGTATATAGTAAATACGACTTTCGCAAAAGGCACTCGGAATAACAGAGGGTTTGGTGATTCGAGCGAGAGATCGGTATCTCTTCGTCTCTCTCCCTCCCCCTCTCTGTCACGGGGAAACGCGCTTTTCCAAGAAAGCTACGATCATCCCCTTTCGTGGTCGTCAACTGGTACGCGAACGGCACATCGTGAAAGAATACCTGTTTGGGCGATTTCATCTTCAACTCGTAGCACTGATTGGACTGTGATAGCCGGCGTCGTGCGTCGGACTAGCGGACGATTGTACTTTGAGCGAGCGATAGTCCAGTGCCGGTGCCGCTGGGTGCTGTCCCTCTCGATGACGGCGTAGGTCGACTTTGCGCTGGAACGCTTTGTCGCATAGTCCGCACTGGAAGGGCTTGTAGCCCGTGTGCTTGCGCATGTGCGTTATCAGATTGCTACTCTGAGAGAACGCTTTGCCGCAGACCACACATTTGTGTGGCTTTTCACCTGCAACACGAAGAGGAAAAAAGGGAACGTTTTTTTGTTTCTGGTTTATTGGTTGGATAAACGTTCATGGCACATCGCTTCTTTAAATTTCAGTGGGTTGAAGGATGAATAACGTGGCGGTCGCATGCGAGCTTCTCTTCGACGACACCTGTATCAACCGGACGCGCGCGTAACCTTCGGTCAGTCGTACCAGTCGCAGGAGCAATATTGTCGCGCTTCCTCGTTAATCATTCGCTCTTACTCATCGCGGTCAATTGTGTTTGAGCAAGTGCTGAGCGCGAGGAGCGTGAAAAATGCCCAGGACGCGCGGGTATCCTCCCGCCTCGCGCGCGCGGAAAAGCGAACACCCATCTCGGCGAGATTGCTCGAGGGGCCGACGCGTGCCGTTATATGCGCGAGCGAGCGGCGCTACTCGAGGCGAAAAGCTTACGCGGCCACGCGCCAGGTGCGTCGCTCACCTATACGTATCGATCCATCTCGCGCCTCATTATATCCGCGCGCTTCTTCGACCGCACTTGTTTCGCTCGGCTCCCTTCCGAGCCGACAGAGGATGAGTCTGCTCGTACCTGACTCGGCAAATATTTGGATAAAATGTTTTCGAACACCAGAGAACCTTTCGTATTTACGAAAATCCAGCACAAAGAAGTAAAGAACAGATTACCAAGAAGCGGGGAAAGAAAACGAAAGAAAACCGCACGCTGATAAATATGAATCAGGCAAACACACCGCGCGTTATTGCGAACGAAACCCTTCCATTAAACCCATGCGTGTGTGTATGTTCTTTCTTTCTGATGTAAGGAAAAATCGTGAAATCTTTCATACGCTTACAGGCACGATTATTAATACGTGGCTCCCTCCAGTGTGCATGAGAAACCTATAGTTTGATTGGGGAGAGAGAGAGAGAGAGAGAGAAAAGGGTTCCGAGGAAAATTCGCTATGCGCAAAAAAAACGAGGGTTGGTATAGAATAGACCAGAGAGAACAAAATCAATTTTCGATTATGCATAAACTTATAGTCGCCCGCACGCTTGTCTAATAATGCCGATGGGTGAGCTTTATTATTCAACCCGTTGCGTCAGAATTCTACGACAATGTATGCACGATATACGTTGTGCGAGTGTGTGACATTTACTTTTGCAAGAAAACGAAAAAAAAAGAAATCAGTCGCGAGTTTTTATTGCGTGCAACAGCTGTGCTTTGGTTTTTTTTCGCGACAATTGCTTTGTTTTACTTTTATCTCTCGTGAGCCGCGGCACAGTATGCGGGTAAGCGTATAATACCACATAGTTAAACGAAAGTGCGTATTGTGCGACGGAATAAAATTGAATTTCGTGTGTCGAGTGAGTGAAATTTAATTACTTTGATTGATCGACCGTGAGACACAAATTTTCCGATAACTCGATGAGTACTTTGTGAAAATCGCACGAGTATCAATCGCGTGCGCGCGTGCGCGGCGACACGCGACAATAGGCCGCTAAAAAACAATTATTCCTTATCGCCGAGAGAGAGAGAGAACAAAAATTAAATGTTTTGCCCTTCGACGGGTACTTTTTTTAATTGCCTAATTTTCTCAAACGTTTGCTGTTCAACCGAAATAAATGAAAAAAAAAAAAAAAAAAAAAAAAAAAAATGATAAATAAATAAAAAAAAGAACGAACAAAAAGGGAAAGAAATCGGATCGATTTATGTATATAAACAGGGATGGATTGCTCCCCTGCCACGCGCAAACGGTTTAAACGGAGGGTTGAGTAAGTAAGAGACCAGTTGGGCCCCGTCCGTCCGTTTTTTCTCTCTTTCCGAATTTAATTAGCGCCGCCACGCGCCTCACCGGAAGTTGTGTGTATGCGTTGTCCCCCTCTTTTTTACGTACGACACGCGCCTCCGCGTGAGAACCGCTTTGACGCTTCTTCCTTTTTTGCGTGTTATGGGGATATGGGATTCTTAAATATTTGAACGTCGGTGATTCAAAACTGTGTTTTTCTTTTTTTTGTTTTTTTGATGAAGAGATTGATTATTTTTTTCAGTGGGAAATTCTCTTAGGTGCTCGGTGCGTTGCGTTACGGGGAGGGGAGGGGGATGAAAGACCACAATTACTGTATGCAAAAGTAAAAGCAGCTTAACAAGACTGCCGCGCACAAACATCGCAGCTACTGAATTTTTGAATAAAAACAGGAAAGAAAATATATCATCGCTTAGGGCAACTAGTACGCCATGTCATTTCCTCGCAGCACAGTAACTAACCCACCCTCGCGCCACCGTTTTCTTCTTTTCTCTTCGTTTTTTTTTTTTTTTTTATTTCAGTAGACGATCATCGGACATAAGCACGACGCGGCGTCGTTGTTACACGATAATTTACCTTTTTACTTATGAACGACGACGCGCTTTTATCCCTTCATTCTTCTACACAAACCAGAAATTTTGTCGATACTTTGTTTCTCGAATTCACGTTGATCGTTGAACCCGTGTCAGAAGTTTGCCGCAGCAAACAATGATATCGAGCGACTGCGCGGTAATTGTCCCGAAAACTTGACTCGGAAAGCTCATGAATAAGTAAAGACAAGGGAAGCTTATAGGCCTTGATCCACGCAGTGAGAGGTCAAATCGCGCGTTTACCCAAGATTACGCCAAAGAAAGTTTCGCGCTATTAAATAACGAACGATCCCCTAACATCGATTTGACAGAGCGCTGGAAAAAAAAAATAATGAGGAAGAAACAGGAACTGATACTCACCAGTATGGATGTAAGTATGTTTCTTCATGTCGGACTTCTGGTGAAACCGCTTGCCGCAATATTGACATGGATAAGGCCTGGTGTCCGAGTGTATCAGCAGGTGCGTACTCAGCGTACTCGATCTCTTAAAGGCTTTGCCACACTGCTTGCACTGCGCGACAAATGGACAAAGAAAAAACCAGCACGTCGATATTATTAGATGCGTCGCAGAAGCTAGTCACGCGCGCGAACCTGGCGCCAGACGTCGCGTCGACAGTGCCTGCATTCGCGCGCGCGTTTTCTCTCTCTCTCTCTCTCTCTCTCTCTCTTTCTCTCTCGCTTCTAAACAAAAGGGTCTGCAGCTGCGAATACGTGACGAAATTTTCTGTTTCTTCTCATCGAGCGCCGAAGACGCGCACCCGGAAAAAAAAATATCGCAACACTGATTATTCTCATGCTGTTCCTTTTTGACGAGCGTTGAAAGTCATCGAGCAAATGAATCGATAGAGAAGAAAATAACAAATTTTTGACAGTGTGTGCGCACAGAGCGCCCGAGACGATCGCAATTCATTGCAAAAGCGCGCGTGCATGATTCGCGTAAAAGCGAGAATCGTTGGGAGGTTGGGCGAGCCGAGCGATGGCGACCGGGAATAACGACGAACGCGAAAGAGTCGAAGCCGTGGGCTAACCTGGAACGTGCGCTCGTTGGCGCTGGGCGGCGTGAGCGGCGAGTGATGAATCTGTCGGCTGGACGGCGCCATCGTCATCGGGCTGTCGTTGTTGTTCCTGGAGGCCGGCGAGCAGCTGGCGATGGACTCGCGGGCCTCCCTCTCGCAGACCGAGCCGGGCGACCAGATCTCGCTCTTGCGGTGATTGGCCCTGGCGCCGCAGCTGCCGCTGCCGGCGCTGCCGCTGCTGGAGCTGCTGCTGTTGCTGCTGACGCTCACGCGCGACGACAAGTCGCTGGGCTTCGTGCTGAGGTTCAGCGGCACCTCGTCCACTGCGCGAAATGCGTCGACTACTTGTAAAGATCCTCCGATCTCTCCGCGCTGTTGGGATACTCACGGTGCTTGGCTTTCTCGGGCGTGCATCTTCGGGGCGAGGAGCCGAGGGCAGGACTCGGCGGCGCGGCGTAGGCATCGAGTCTGGTCTGACTAGGAAAGGCGGTGGGCGAGTGCTGCTGCTGCTGCAGAAGCAGACCCGCGGCGACAGCCTGGTGTGCCCACCAGGCAGCGGCAACGCTTCCGTAACCGCTGTACATCATCTCTGCAACGCGGCGCGCATTTGACGCTATATGCGGTTTGTTCGGCGCACGCGACGCTTCCGTTCTCGTTTCTCTCTTTCTTTATTTTTTTGCCTCTTACCTCTCGTTGCGGGCTGAAGCCTTTGCAGATCGTTGGCGTAGTTGGATACCAAGGTGAAGGCACTTAGGCGCTCGGGAGGATTATTGCTGGTCGGCGACTGTCCAGCGGAAAATATCGACGTTGGACTCCATGGACAGTTCGGATGGATCGACGGACTACTCGGCGGCGACAGTGTGGCCGGTGGCGATAGCGCGCCTGACGGCACGTTCATCGACACGTGGTGATGGTGGTGATGGTGATCCAGCTTGCTTTTCACGTGCCAGTTGGATGTTTGTGGCACCGTTTCTGCGGGCGAACCAGCCTTGTAGCTTTCAGTTTGAATAGGAAGAGAGTGAGACTTGCTTCGCGCGGATTGGTCGAGAGCGTCCGCGATCCTTTCTAGCGGTCGAGGGCTGCGAGTTGCGCCAATCCAACACCCACGGCTTTTTTCGCTCGCGATAGATTGCGATCTTGTCACGCGACAATAGCGACATTTCGATCGCTCGCTCGTGTATGAGATTCGATTGGCGGATGCTCCTTCCTCGCGCGCGCTCGTGCGAGATGAGCGCCGACGTTTGTCTTCCCTGATCAAATGAGTGTTGTATACGTAAGTGGGCGTGTACGCCACATTGCACGTGGACTTTATGAGTGCAAAGGTTACTGCAATTGATCGACGAGATGGGTGAATAAGTGAGCTGTTTTTTGTATTAAAAAAAAAAACGTGCAACTTGTAATTCGACAAATATAGATACACGTGTGACTTTTTGATTTCGATTATCTTTAATGAAAGGAGTTGATTGGTTAAAGTTTGCTTGTAGAACTCCAATGCGAGATTGATTGACATTCTATACACGTTATATTGTTCTGGAAAATTTTCGGAAAACTTCATGAAAATTTGAACATACTAATCATAATGAATGTCTGCGTGGTCGTTGGGAAAATTTACGTAAAACAAGCCGATTACCCATGAAAATTGAGGATTGGGCGACATAGTCGACTGAGTGGCTAGCCGCGTCAAGATGTCTGTCGTTCGTATAAGCGCGCGGCGACCTCATACAACATATAGCCACCTTCGCGATCCCAAATAGAATTTCATTAATATACTCAACAGCACATGTGTGTATGTCAATCAATATTTGCACAGACGGTGTCCTTCCGCTTCGGTTTTTTTTTTTCATGTCATTCTTTTCTCACGCTGGACTTGCTACTTTTAATTACATTTGTTCTATTTTAAACTAATAAAATTGGCGCGCGTGTATGTTGATGTTTTTTGTTGTTGAAAAAATCCTGTAATTTCGACGTTATCGGTAAATGACGTAACAATTCAACGAGCGATCGGCTATTGTTCGGGGTTTTTACGTCTTGACGCATATTGGTGTTTGAACAGATTTTTTTTTGTTTCGGAAAAACACGCGCGCATCCGAAGGAATTTTTTTTCCTCGATTCGGAAAACCAATTGATAAAACACACTGAATATCGCAAGATGTAGAAAGGAAATCTCAACTCACCACACATAATGACGAGCGAACTGCAGGAGGGAAGGTAAACAAATCAAATCCTCTTCTCAAAAATCTGAGCAGCAACCAATCATCACCAAATTTTGATAAATTAAAAAGAAAAGAAAAAAAAGAAAAAAATCACAAAGTCCCAGGGGAAAAATCACAAGTGTCGTCGCACGAAAAAAGCACTGAAGTTCGAACTGCGCGAAAGGGAGAGAAGCGAAGGGAAAAACTGCGTGGTGTGCGGCTGAGGCTCGTGAGGCCGACTGATCGCGTGTTGTTGGGCAGGCACTCGCGGAGACTTTACCTGTCTCGTCCCTCTCTCTCTCTCTCTCTCTCTCTCTCTCTCGGAGTACATCCGAGCACGCACGCGCACCTTTTTACAGGGGGCCACGCCCACACCAAGCCAACTCGCTCGCGCGCACACAAGACTAGGATCTGCATGTGGGGAGTGGGAATGGGATTGACTCTTCCTCGCTCTTCGTTTTGTTCGGCGGTTGACAAGGCATTCCGCTTTTGTTTCGGCTTATCAGTTCCAATTGGCGGTTTATTCCGAATCGTGATTTGGCACATTCCGCGATATCCTTATCGTCAAAATTTGCATACTTTATTTTCGCAATAATTTCCACTTCAGAGTGCACACTTCCACGCCGACGTGCGTCAATTTAGCGCGCCGTGCACTCGGATCAAAATATTTGTCGTCAATCCCAAGCGAGCGCAGGTACTCGTATTCGCGCTTCGGCAAAAACAGGTGTGAGCTCCTTTTTACGAGCGCGCAACGAGTTCGCTCACTGACAACATTTCTTGTTTGATTATTCAAATCGTGATGTGCGCGATCTCGTGTTTCACGCCTGTCGCGACGAATTTCTCGCCCCTCCGATGGCGCGAGTCGTCGATGTGAAAGCGCTAACTGTGATTTTCCCCGCCCACACATCCGATACCCTTCTGCTTTCGCGTACTCGTCGCGCACGAAAATCGAATTGGAAATGCATTTTTTTTGCCGACGACAGTAAAAATTCGACTTATAATTCGAATATTTGGGCGCAAAAATTACGGCAGGAATATCAAAAGAACATTCATGAATAAGCCTTCAAAGTTTTTTGTAATCGCTCTCGACAAAGTTATAAATCAATCAGGTCAGTGAATAACCTCCGCCCTATTGTATTCGGCAAAGGAGAAAAAGAGCGAGATTGATCAGACTAGTAGTTTGGGATGGCGCTCAGATGGATACCTACTTACAAAAGTAAGTAACACGGCGACTTATTTTGAAAAGGACTTGAGATCTATTCAATAATAATTGGGCACTAAAGGATTTTCATCTAGAATTGTTGACTAAGGGAAACGAGAGAAATTAGGCTCGGACGAAAAGTCTTACTCACTTTTGTTCGAATCACTGATTAATCCAATTTAGTAATACAGCGATCATGCAATATATTGACATAAGTTATCAGAAATCTAGGTAAGTAGACGATGAATAATTCATGGCCCCGCGAGGAATCGTTTCAACTATCGCCCGTACTTTTCGATAATAGACGCGAGTTCGAAACTACGGTTGAAAACGCGCGAAGCGAGGAGAAAAATTGCAAACGTGGCGAGGCGACGCGACGAACAATTCGAGGCGAGCAAGAAACGGAAAAGTTGAATGAAAAATCCGATCGAGCGAATCGGAACAGCGAAGAAAACCGAGCGAGGCTTCCTATACGTGAGCGTCTTGCATTGCGCTCTTCTTTTTTCCTTTTTTATTGCAAGATCTCCCACCCACGCGCCGGAGCTGCGATTGGTCGTCAAACGACCAGACACCTCCTACAAACTGCGCGCGCAACCTTTACTAAGCTAGGAGGGAATAGCGCGCGCCCGAGAACAGGTGCGCGATGATCGCACGTACAATGTGTGTGTGTTATGGGCTGATCTGATGGGGTGGCTCTTTTTCTTTTTTTTGTTTTATCGGAGGTTGAAATGTTCGGATGAGCTTATTACTTTAACGTCGACGAAGGAAGCTTGAAATGTTTTTGGATGATATAGATTTTATAAGTTGACAAGAAGCGCAAATGCTGCTTTCGCAAACACAGTCAGCGAATTGTAATTATTCATACAGTGTTGATTCTCATAGAGTCACGTCACGTATCTAAGTAGTTCATAATTCTTGCATAGGCGGAGAAACGGCATTCCTGCAAGCAGATAATTCATTTCATATATTTTTATAAATCCTTGTGCTTTGAGTTGCTGATGTCCTATTTACATAGCAGTTTGTCATGATTATAGCTAAGTTTCTGCATTTCGTAGCTTAACTTTGTCTATTTATTAATGTATTCATCGAGGTATTTTCAAATAGTTCAAGGCGGGCTAATGGCATAAGTTAAACCTTCGCCCGAGAAACACAATAACTATGTGCATCGATCGTCGTGGAACGCCAAGGAAAGAAGAGAAAACGAAAGAAAAGCACAAAAGCCTTCAGCGTTGTCTCTCTGCGTGTGATTGTAATGTATGCTTGGATCTCTCTCTCCCTCTCGCGTGTATAAATATCAACGGCGAACAATAAAAGCGACGCGACGCGGGAAAACGGGCAACAGGTGCGCGTACAATGGCGATGTATGTACGTTTTTCTTCCTCGTCGCCGTCTCTATAACCCCTTCGTATTGTTGCACTTCATCGAGCTTGTCATTACCGCGATATGTTTTTTTATACAAATCTTGAAATTATATGTGTTTTGTATTATAGGAGATGAGACGGGGAGACGTTCACACGAGATAATTATTTTTTTCATGGGAAATCGAGCTGCTTGGTCTCTTTTGTTCGCTCTCTCGATTTACATATGTTTGAGCAAGAGGAGAAGCGAATGAACTTTTTGTTGCTTGCTGTGAAAATATTATGACAGGGAGATTAATAATCGATGATTATTCGTGCTTCAAGAGAAATCGGATAAAATAATAATAATCGCTCGCGCGCGCGCGAGTGTCTGTGTGTATTTGTAAAAATAAACTTGTAATTATTGGTAGTGCACATGGCTGGAAACGTGAACGAACTTCGGGAAAATTTTCCCCGCGAGTAAAAATGGATTTCAAGAAAAAAAAAAAAAGAAGAAGCAGTTGGCAAGTGCAAAGAGACTTATCGGCAATGACTCGGTTTTGTTAGGTATAATTACAGGTGGCGATTATATTTGAAAATTGGAGTCAACTGAGTCACGGCAAGCTTTTGATGATAACGACGAAAATGAAAAAAAGCAGGTTTACTAGTCCAAGGCGAAGGCGATCGTCACTGAGCGGTTATTTTTTTTTAAACGGCGACACGCGCGTCTTTTGTACGAGCTATCTTGAGTCGAAAAATTGCGCTAATTGTTTGTTACGTAAAACAAAATAGGTGATATCCGGTTCATTTGTTGATCTATAAAATCCAATTGTTCGGCATTATATTAAATAATGCCAAATATTGAGGGTGTTAATTTTACATGTGGAAGTGAAATCATGACTGTTGCAATAATGTCTCTAAAAATCCTTTACATTGAAAGAAAAACATTGGTTAAAATTAATGTACTTTTAAAAATATTGGTACAATTACCAGTTTTTAGTTAATTTATTGTCGTCACGATTGACTTATCAGATTTTGTGAATCATTCAAATTTCCGATTGAAAAAAAGTATTTTCCCCAATCAGAATTTTTCAAGTGCGATCATTCTGTAAATTTGTTATTTTCTTCGTACCAATGACGTTATGAAGTACAAAGAAATTTATTTTGGAACGTATCGTATATGCAACGAATATTGACGCTTATATTCGTTGGCATACACATAAAAGAGAAATTTAACCTCTCAAAGCCCAAAACTCGCATATCCGGGCAATAGTGGTGATGTATAAAACCCCAACTTCGATTTCCAAAATAAAAGAGAAAAAGGTCGGCCTCGCCCCATTCAGTTAACATAATGTTCGCGCAAGATCGGAAGTGTGGGTATGTGCAACTTGTTGCACGCGGCGTCGCGTGCAGGAAGTGTGAAATCTCTTATATGGCAAAAAGAAGAAGCATAAAAATTTCGGCGAAGCCTTGACCCAGTGCTCTCTGGCAATGTCACGCGATCGGTGACGATTTTCTCGCCACCAAGTAAGTGCAGTCGTCGGACTATTGTTGTGCTTCGTTCGAAGGGAAAAGTGACAGCGGTGGTTTCTTTTTTTCTTTTGTGACGCTTGAGACGCAAGGGACTTTTGTAATTCGGGAAGTGTTATACACCAAATTATTTAAATTCAGACCTATTCTCATGCTGATTTTTTAAGGGGCTTTGTGCTATTCTTTGGTTATACTTATACGTTTAATTGAACAACTTCTGGGGAAGATATCAATGGGTTTTAGCTTTTTTTTTTAATCCAATTGAATAGATTTCTTTTCGAGTACTTTAGATATGATATCGAGGCGTGAAAACGTTTGTTTACGTGAGATTCTTGCTTCGATATTTTACACGACGTTCATAGAAAGCTCCTGAGAACATTTTTTGAGAGTTTAAAATTGTTAGTACACCAAGGAAAACTGCAAAGATTTCGAAATCTTACGAATATAATTCCATTATACTCGCAAAGTGGAGCTCTTTATTCCCAAATCTTTTGTGAAGAGGCCGTAAAACTCCTTCAATTTCGAAAGGCTGACCTTCTATATTCTTAATATGTATATTTACTCTTTACATTAAAGTAGCAGTCATTCGTTGCCTATTTTCTAAAATTTACAAAAACTGATGAAAAAATTTGGCATAAAGTAATGATATTGAAGAAACAATTTCGTGGAAGCGATGTTTCTTTTGGTAAGAAAATACAACTAAAAATTGCGGCAGTGAGAATTTATACGGCGAAATGCATAGCGATAAGGCTGAAATTAAGAATAATCACGGATTATTCATTTTATTTTTGATAATATTTTTATCATTTCTCGCCCGCCTAATATTTTTCGATTTCATCAGAAATAATACTCGGACGATATTAATAGCAATATTCTTTATGTATCATCAAATTATTTTCTAGTATTTGGAAAAAAGACAATAGACTGTTTCAAGTTATAATCGTAGTATTTGTGAAACGCAACACCCGAAATGCATTAAAAACGGAACGTACAATGAAATCGAAAATTCCCAATAATGTGCACGAGAGGCGGAAGGGTGCACTTTTGTCCGGATACGTAAATGTGTCGGGCAAGCGCAATACTTTTCTCACCATGGCCACGCGAGAAATCGTTTACTACTGCCGTTATATCGCTTTCTTTCCTGTGCGCCATACATTGTGCTGCAAATATACATCGGACTTTCTCTGATCGAGAAGCACACCACGCGTCTTTTATGAATTGACCATGTTAGTGAGCGATCTACAAAGTGTGTCGATATAATCGGTATCATTTCACTGAGATGAGAGAACTTTGTATAATAAAATATAAAATATTTTATAAATATTATATTAATTAATATTTCTTATAAATTAAAGTGCAGAATTAATAAATCAATTATTATAATGTATAAACTACACAATATTTTTGAAGTAATACCACACCCATTATTATTTATCTATCATTTATTTACTATTTAATTATGCAAGCGATATCATTCTGCTGTATTAAAACTGGCTACTTCATTTTTAATGGTTTATATTTTCGTACTTGATTTGAGAGTTTTCTTGAGTTTGACTAATTAAAGCATTGTCAATTCGGGTTCTATATTTCGAATCAAATTTTTTTCCAAATAGTGGTAAGATTAAAAATTTTTTATTTGTTAATCAGCAAATAATTTAAGATTTGTTTTTTTTTTAATTCGTATTGAATTTAAATTCCAAACACAGCATTCTAATTTTTGCCCCTTAGTTCAATTTCGAGTTTTCATTTTAACTGTAGTTAACAAGTCTTATTATTCTAAACAATAGATAGTAATATAATGCAATAGTATAATACAATAGATAATAATACAAATAGTAATAGTAGTAATTATATAATAGAATACTATTATATAATATACTATGCTACGATACTAATACTTAAATTATTGCTAAAAAATGATCTGATAATTTTAGAAGAATCAAATAATTGATATATGTTCACATTTAGTGTTAAATAGTCATAATTAACTCAGGTACACCATTTCAGATTTACAAAATTAAAAAAGCAAAAGAAACAACTCGATATGATTATATATCTTTTTGTAAAAAGATTGAAAAGCATTGATTAATATTATTATATTAAAGTATTTATCTTTTATAATTCATATACATAAAATTAAAATATTTCAATTAACGTAATCACTGAAGAAATAATTTTCAGTCAGTCATTTGGCCTTCCTGTTCATGCTGATGAGTGACTGGTCAATTTTTGGATGATCTCTCAATCTACCCACATTTGCCTGAGAGACCTTAGAAGCACAAAATACCAAAGAATCCTGTACACCAAATCACAATCGTTTTTCTCAGTTCACAAAATGGCGGTAAGTAAAATCAGTTTCAAGTACCTTCGTTTAAATATTAAAATGTATCAATTTCTATAACGTTGACATTATTATAATTACAAAGAACACATTAGTTAATACATTAGTTAATAGTAATAATAATTTATTTATATTTACACATGTACAATTATTGGCAACTTTTTTATAGTCTTCTTGTAATTAGATACAGTTTTTTTAAGATCTTTAAGCTAAAGTCACATAAAATTTTGATTACATATTAATTTGGAATTTAGCTATAAAATTAAGTAACAGTAAACGTACCGTCTACTATTTATGTATTATTACGTATCAAATTCCGATATTATATTATCTAGAAATTGCTGGCAAATCCATAGTACGTGAGAATTAACAACAAGCAAAATTATTCGTATTTCATAGAGTACAAAATGCTACCTTTTTTACGGCTAGGAGAATATTATGTAATAGTTGTAACAGATTTGTAGATTTATTCCCTTTGTGATTATCTTGTTCTAACTCTTCTTTATTAAACAAATTATTTAAATAGTACCCATTAACGTTTTCAGCACAAAATCATCCGGTTATTTGTTGACCACGTGAACGAGAGAAAATATCTCTCGCGACCGCATTTGTTCTTTCCAGCGAGAACTCGATTGAACAGCGCAAAGTGGCATTTTAGAAATGTTGAAAATAAAATTCATATAGCAAGAGAAAGTGATGTTCGTAACGTTGCTATGATGAATTTATTTACCCGTCTATTCATCTGATATTTTTGTACTATATACTACGAACTCGAAGCAAATAGTCGTATTAATTTAATTATTGAAACTAACGGTTCTTTATAACTTAAACCGCATCTTATATTTGTAATACGTTTTATAAATCTTTCTTTGACGTCTAAATTTTAATAAAAGTAACTTATTATTTGACAGAACAGTCAAATACATATTCTCAAATCCAATTTTCCTTGCAAATTTATAATAAATTTTTTAACAGTTGATCCTGCTTTATGCTTTCTCTTCATTCATCTAATTCAGAAACAAACTTCTGGCCTATTAATTCTTGCTATGACAGTGCTTTGACAGTGTAGGATTTTAAAACCCATGGCGCTTTCCTACAATACACTCTTTTTATTACACCTAATTCTAGCCTAAATTTCTTTAAAATACATATCTATTTTTTTTAGTTACAGTAATCTTTCATTTTTAATAAATTACTTATTTATATTTTTAAGAGTCATTCATCAAACTAAAAATTTACTTATATTATTCATGTTACAGCTTCGTGTTAAAAGTGAACAAAAATTCTTCGATGAACATCTATTATTTCATCTACTACAGGAAGATATTGACAACGTGATGTCCATTATTAATGATGATGACGGGAAAACTCTCACCGATAGTTTTGGAATGACGCTTCTTCATCACGCTGCTGCCGTTGGGAGCCACATAATTGCAACGTATTTTGTCAAGCAAGGATATGCAGTCGACGCTGCAGACTTCCAAGGAAATACTCCATTGATGCACGCCGTTATACATAGTCACTGGAATGTTACATCAGTTCTTCTTCGAGCGAATGCGATATATTGGCTTGCAATCGAGACAAGAAAACTCCGTTGAGTGTGAGCCTGGATTCCGATTCCACGTGTCCTATACGCCTATTTTCAGAGTTTTTTGATGCTTTGAAGAGACAATGTTCAAGAGAAAAAATCACTGAAATATTGCTGGAATTAAACTGCCCTCTTCCTCGAGTAATATTGCTGAAGGACTCAATTGTTACGGAAAACATGCTGAACAGGGGTTGTACTGTTCATGATCGAGATACCATGTCTGACTGCACAGCTTTGCACTATGCTGTCGGTTATCACGACATAAAAAATGTCAAGCTTCTGCTTGAACGTGGAGCTGATGTCAACGTCGAGGACAATGAAAAAAACTTGCCGTTGCATTATTACTATGTTACATATCAAAAAAGCAATCACGAAATTTTGGCATGATTGTTCGAATACGGTGCATCAGTGAATACTCATAACAATCGTGACTTCAGTATTGCGAGAAATATTCTACAGTTCGGAACCCATAATGAAGTCAAAACATTGCTGTTATACAACATTGACTTAAATGCGAAGGATACTGACGAAATTAGCCTGCTGATGTACGCCGCCATTAATACTAGAAACTATGGAACGATAAATATGCTACAAGGTACAGATTTTAACGTGAACGCTGAGGACGATCAACAAAGAACTGCGATTTGGTACGCCGTGCATTGTATGAATCCGCCTGCTGTTCTATTTCTGTTGGAGCACGGTGCTAAGCCGAATGATGGCTTGGATGCACTGTGCGGTAGCACATATGAATTCTCAGACAACCGCCTGCAAATAAGATGTCTCGAGCTACTCCTGCGGTACGGACTTAGTCTGTCGGCCGTGGATACCAAGCAGAGAACCATTTTTGAAATTGCTACAGAAGATCATAACGTAAAGTTGCTTAATACCGTACTTGAGCACGTAGCAATGTCGATTGCGCTCGATCAACACGTCGAGAAGGCTGCCCTTGCTAAAATCCGGTCGCATAGAGAGACTAAAGAATATTTTGATGGATGTCAAAAAATAATTAAAGACATGAAAGACACTGCTGTTTATGAAACTGCAACGTTATTTGATGTTCTAACCAAGTCCAAAGAACAGGTTTTAAAGTACGTGCAAAATGCAGAGACCGTGGAAATATTGAATTGCATCATGTACGAAATGGGTAATTCAAAATTTGGAATTATTAAATTTTTAAGAAACCGTATAGAAACTGTCATTGAAATCGCAAAGTTGCGTAAGCAAGCAACTTTGAGTATTCAGAAAATTATTGAATTAAAATACTATCCGCATGTTATGAACATGATCATAAACTTTTTGGACAAACAATCTCTGGAAAACTTATGTCAAATTTGAATTACTAGTGTTATTTAGCGCGCTTCGCGCGTATTTTTTTTTACTGTTTTACTATTATTTATTACATTATTTGAACCTTTTACATATCAACTTCAAGATTTCAATGGACACGAATAAGTCATGCTGTTTAAAATAGACTACATACGTCAATATTTATTGATGAATAAAAATAGAACATGCACCCATTTTTTCTAAAAAATCGATAAACTTTTACTCATTTCAAGATATATCGGAAAAATTATTCAAAAGATTAATTCGACCTAAGATCAATAATGGTATTATACTATTATACTATTATACAACACTAAACTTACATATTCAATAGTAGTGATTATGGCTCCAATCTTATATTAGTATGAGTAATACATTTAAACATCGTGTACTTTTTGCTGCCACTATGAAAACACCCGTGAATATTCTTCTAATTTAACAGGTTTAATATTTTGATAATTAATTTCCTTTGTTCGCATACGTTTTAATTTAAAATATACAAAAGATAAATATGTAGTCTTTATTTTATTTTTATTCATTCTTTTTTTCTTTATACCAAATTTTAACACAACGATATTGATTGTAGTATCGGAGATGGTTATAAAATTAACAATTTGTATAAATAATTTCAAAACATAACATATTATGTTCTTAAACTAATTTACTAACATATTTCCATTCTTGCAGTTTATTATCCATGTTAATTATTCATAAATTGAATTTATCGCTAAAATAGAAATCTTACACCCTTTGATATATAATAATAATAATATTTCAAAGTATAGGAAAATTCAAAATTCTATTTTTGCATCAACAAATTACAACGCTGGATGTCAGCGACTCATCTTTTTTTAAAGATAATATAGGAATAAAATATGTAAAAAGTATAAAAATAAAAAATAAAAATAAATATAAGGCAAGGATAAGGATAGGATAGAATAATCAGCTGCGCCTAACAATTTAATTTTGTTTCTTTTTTAACGTATTGGTTCATGGTATCAAGCTTTCCATAGGATTTCTCCATATCAACAGATATATTATTTTAATTTAACTGTTTTTCCATTGCTCATCTGAAACCATTTGGAGAGTTTGTTTACATTTATAAATTAAATTTCAAAATTTATTTAAAATAAATTAACGGTGCCGACTGCACCGAAATAAATTTGCAGAATTCCATATAAAATATCAATTTACCATTCTTCTCAATATTGATCATATTTATCCGAAGCTAAACTTTACAATAAAGATATATTCAATTAATTTATATGTCCAATAAATAAATGAAGTGCATTAAAATTACTTTATCGCATTTTTTTAAGGTTAGGCCATTGAAAGAATGTGGAAGTCATTTATAGTTTAATGCCTACAAATTATTATACTTATTTGTATTGATAGATGTAAAGTACTTCGATTTATTATTATGACCGATTTACTCATAATTGTGACACACGTGACGAAATTCAGTCAATCAGGTCATAAATAAAATAACTTCACTCAGGGGGCCTATTCTGAAAAAAAATTTTGTGGTAAATCAGTTTGTCACTTCAGTTTACCACAGAATTAATCACTTTAGATGTGATAAATGCTTATGACATGTGCTAAAATTTTTTTTCAGAATAGGCCCCGTGCTAAAATTTTTTTTCAGAATAGGCCCCCAGCATCACTTTTTCATATAGGAAAATAAAGATATATTGGTTTAGATAAACTTTACGTGTTTTTACCTTCTTTTTTATTTCTTATATTAATATTAACATTATTAACAAATTACTTTTTTTAAAGGTAGATTTTTCAATTTTTTTTAAAAACCCATATCACAGCGGAAAATGTTTATTAGTGATGAAACACATTTTCAAATTTATGATTTATTATATCAAAAACTGCAATAAATATAATCTTATACTATTTTTTTCTCAACGGGTTAATTTATTATTAAACTTTTATTCTACTTTTTGAATAAAGATTGCAACATTACAACTTTTATTTTACACATTTAAAAACCAAATTTTCGATTATTAATAGAAAATATTTAGAGCAATTCCAACCTATATTATTTGTCACTTTTTTATAAGGGATAAAACTGATAAACAATGAACTACATTATGATCATAAATGATGAATTAAAGATTATATTTTATTTATTTGCTAAAACCAAATTAAATTAAATCTGAAATAAAAAATCAACTAAAATCAATTTGAGTTCTCGCGGTTTTTTTCATTTGGGCCAATCAGGTCACGAATAAAATGCTTCAATATGGTTTCCATTACTTTTTTATAAGGGGAATTTGTAAACAATTTTTGTAAAAACCACATTGTGATGCATTTGTTTATGTTGAAAAGACACCTATTAATTGTTGAGAATAATGATTATCTACATTCGGAAGAGAAAAAGAATAAATGAAGCATTAAGGTGGTATGTTCAATGTCAATAATATTCATTTACATTTATTTCTTTAATGTGTTGTTTATTTGTGTAGAATATATGCATAAAAATAACCGTTTGTATTTTTTCATGATTTGTTTGGAAAAATTGAGAGAATCATAAAGCACTTCAAAGATGTGTTTATTTCAATAAATATATTTATCTAATCTTGCGAACTCCTAAATGTGTGACAGTTTCGTCCAATAAATAATAAGGAAGACTCGGATTACAACAGGAGCGTATAACTGAAGAACTAAGTATTATGAATAATTAATCATCACGAATAATTGCAGAAATGAGTTAAGCTTGCATGCATCTATATTTGACGACTAACAATTTTATTACAATAATAATTAAGTTAATTTATTATTTCAATCCGTTTACTATCTTATCAATGTTAGTAGTCGTTACAATTATTAAATTACAATCCGTTAGTTTCATTATAAACTAGAGACACTCAAAATAATTTAAACGGTTTTTTACTATCTTTTCAGAGGTTTAGCTTTTAATATAGATTCAATAAAACAGTGACTACAAATCATTACCTGGATAAATATTTCTTCATTTTATTTATTTGACCAAAAATAATAAGAGCTTCAACTTTTAAAGCCACCAGAAGGATATGAAGCTCTTATTCGGAGTTGATACAAAAATTTATGTATATGTTCTGGGAAAAAGCCTTTATGTCTCTTCATAATTTATAAATTTTACGTTAAGTATGACGTTGCGGTGCCAATTATTGTATTGTATGTTCAGAAAAATGATTACAAGAAAGAATTATACTTAATCATCTTCAATATATAATGTGCCATGAATAGTAGAAAAATCTATCGAATTTTTAGAAAGGAATCACATTATAGTATATAGTTCGAATAATATACTTGCTGCTCTTAGACTCGCAACGCCATAAATAGACATATCAAGTAATTTTGTATCTGACATTTCTTACTTTATATTTTACCGTATGATTTTAATATAATGTAACTGACTGTTACGGATGTATTTAGAAATACGCTCTCACAGAATTTTTGGACAAAGACATTGCGCTTGGATCATTTCATTACGCCGCGGACTGTTTGCTAATCGATGCGCGCGTGCGATGTCGAACTCGAAAATAAGATCGAGTGACCATGCGTAACGGCATCGACACTCTCATTTTTAAAATAATCTCTAATCTGCCGACATTTGTCGGTTGGTTCCTTTATTGTTAAGTTCAGTTACGGCCTCTTCGAAACTCGAAACTCAAGTAACACTACGAATATTGTTTAATTTAAGATAAGCGTGTGAGAGAAGCGTGCGCCGCATCAAGCTGAGTTACGATTATAATCAAATTTGACTTTTTACCATTGCTACGATCACTGCCTCCAAACTCGCAAAAATGCATACATCGCTAAAAAAGATGGCAAATGCATTGTGGCAATCAGACTGGTTGAAAGGTTACCTTTCAAAGCTGATTGTCGACGACGGACATTGAGTGTCCGTCGCTCCGTTGTTTGAGCCGAAAGTCGGCACCATCAAACAACGCAATACGAGCCACCAAATACGGCACAATATTTAGCGCACGGTCGGAATCATCATAGACTTCGACTCGAGCCAATCAACTAGAGTACGGAGCAGTTGACACATGAATAAGGAAACCTCATTGGCAGGAGGTCAAGAAGTTCACGCCTTCGACCTTCGTGCGAGGAAAGGGAATTAAGATAAGAACATTTTTTTTTGATCGGACTCAGCTGGCGCGGCGACGCGTCTCAACCATTCTAGATCCGGCACTTGAACAAGCAGTTCGCCTATCTTTAAGCACGCGTGCGTCAATTATATTTCATTAATTGTACTTCCGTTAATTGTACCTTTATACTATTTAGAATTACGATTCTCGTGTCGACACAAATTTAATCCTTTCTTATTTTAACTAGTTTAGCCGGCGAACCTTTATAAATGTAATTTGTATCGTTAGTTGTTAGTTTGATTGTAAGCTTGCTTTGATTCCGAGCGTTCCGGTTTATTTGTTATTTTAAGTAGTGTTATTGTGAATTAAATAAATCCGGTGTTCTTTATATTAAATATTTTAAAACCTCCACTCTCAGTCCTTCTCACCCTAACACTGACATTGAAAAAGTTATACATAGTATTATTTGAAGGAGCCACTTATTCTGATCTTGTAGGAGCTAAATGTTGTGATTGTCTTCACAATTGCTGTAATTATAAAAGGTTAATTAACAATATAAAACTAAAGTTTAAAATATAATATACTTTACATAATAAACTTACGTAATCATTATCTATGGCGACACGGATTAATGAGTAGAAATTTTGAAAAAAATTATCATATTTCACTTTACTTTTTCATGAAATTTTAGATACTGTTTTTCATTTAACACTGTGAACGATAAAATGCAGACGCCGTTGTATCTATACAAAAGGAATCGTAATTGTGGGCACGAGATTCTGCGCACGCTATTAAATCATGGTGCAAATTTGACTGTGCGGAATGTTTCCGGTTATGTCGGTTACAAAGATATTTGGATATAGGAAAAGAGATTATTGTAAAGACGTTGTTGAAGTGCGATCTCGATTTAAATGTAACAAACGC